TTTAGTTAAGCTTTCTGACATTATATACAGGAAGAAATATTTACTTCAGTTCTTTTCTTTCCTTTTTTCCAAATATGTCTATGGAACACTGGTAGCCTAGTGGTAAGAAGCTGTGCTACAATCCCAAATATTACCAGTGAAATTTGAAATCTACACTGAAATTAAATTATACAGTTGTTGGGGTTTTTTTCCCCCTCTTCATTTTATTAGGGAGCTCTGGTGGCCTAGTGGTAAGGAGATGCACTGCCAACCCAAAGGCTCACAGTTCAAATCCACCAGTTGTCCCAGAGAAGAAAGATGGGCAATCTTCTCCAGGACTATTTACTGCCTCTGAAAATCCTCTGAACAGTCAGTTATAGGTTGAGGAGATTAACACTTCTATTTCTTCACCCCTCTGTAGACTGTTTAAGCTGTAAAGGATCTACAAAAATAGAGGCCTCAGTTGCTGCCCCCCTTGACATGCATCCGTCCTTTCCTTGGTAAACAAAAACCTACTTAAAATTATTTTAGTAGAATTAAGAAGAAAATAAGTAGTGCATTCTGATAGTGTGTACCACTGTAAAAGATGAAAACAAAAAAAATTCTAGAGCATATTAGTAAAACGTTACTTATCTGGGCGAACAAAGACCTAAATAAACAGAATGGAAAAAAATTCTAGGTGGTTGGTTCTTCTCTCAAGACGAAAATTCCCATGTTTAATTTAAATAATTGTGAAATTTTTAAAGTTCTGCTTTAATTGCAAGATTATTTTACATGTTTAGAAGCCTAATACCAAAAATTCTATTTCTAAAAAATTTTATACCAATTCTAATAAAAAGTCATGCAATCATCCAACGAAAGACTTTTCTGATGAATGGTTCATGCAGAATTATCAATATAAAACAGAGTTTTATTTAAAAAAAAAAAGAAGGAAAAAGCAGATGTCTTCCAGCAACAAGTTGATTCAAGGTTCTTTCTAAAAAGGGGAAAGGAACATCAAGCTGAAAACTGTAGTACAACAGGCAGACAACATAGTCAGAGGAAATACAACTACTTTCCATTTTAACAGAGCTGTAAATACAGAATATTAACATTCTAATAAGGATAAGAATTTAATATGATTCATAGAATTCTAAAGACACAAAGTACATTACATACCAATCAAATGATTCAATAGTATAAAGAGATTTCATTGAAAATCAGTAAACACATATGTATATTTAGATATCTTTTCCTTGTAAAATAAGTTATAATACTCTCACTTACATAACGTCCTCCTGGTAGGATCAATAAGCAACACCCTTGACACCAGCAGCCACAAAAATCAAAAAGACATATTGCATTGGGAAAGTTTGCTGCCAGGGAATCTCTCCAAAGTGTTGAAGAGCAAAGATGTCGGTTTGAAGACTGAAGTGCACCTGACAGAAAAAGAACTGATTCTTTGAGATGTAGTGGTGGAGAAGAGTGCTGAAGATCTCATGGACTGCCAGAAGGACAAACATGTCTTGAGAAGGTGCTCCTTGGAGACATGGATAGTGAAGTTTGTCTTACCTATTTTGGGCATGGTATAAGGAGGAGCCAGTCCTTGAAAAAAACATCATGTTTGGAAGGGGGGGGGGGTCAGCAAATATGGGGAAAACCCGTAACAAGATGGACTGACATAGTGACTACAACTGTAAACTCAAGTGTGTCAGAGATGATGAGGATGACACAGGACAGGGCAAGATTCAGATCCATTCATTGTTCATAAGAGATCATTATGAGTCTTAATCGATTCAATAAACAATAATACTCTCTTCCTGACAACTGAGGAGAGAAGAGGAGTAGACTGGGGAAATTTTAAATCCCTAAAGAAAATAGTATGAAGTTTTTTAAAATTTTTTCTTCTGTGGGGCTATTTTTAACAATGCAAAACTAAATAGCTGATCAGAAAAGTAAGAAACAGTAACCACCAACTACTCATGTGCAAGTTCAAGCTGAAGCTGAGGAAAATTAAAC